TGTGTGTGTGTTTAGGCTTTCTCAGGGGGTCCCTGATATAGCCAGCTCCGGGGAATTCAAAACCCTCCTCTGGCCTCCTGTGGTCTCTGCTGGCCTTCTCAGGCACAGAGAAAGAGAGAGAGAGAGAGAGAGAGAGAGAGAGGAGGAGGAGGAGGAAGAGGAGGAGGAGGAAGAAGAGGAGGAGGAGGAGGAGGAGGAGGAGGGAGGGAGGAAGAGAAAATTGTTAGGCTTGGCGGTGAGTGCCTTTACCCACCGAGCCATCTCGCCAGACCCAGTCCACCTCTTCAAACCTGCACAGCCAGATTCCTGGAGCTGGAGTTACAGGTGGGTGTGAGCCACCAGTGTAGATGCTGGGAACCTAATTCAGATGCTCTTAACCACTGAGCCATCCCTCATGCTCCCCACCCCACACCACCCCTCCTCTAGATAAAACTCTGGTCCTTTACATCTCTGGGATCCTTGCCTGGATAGCCAGAAGGCACTTCTGGGGTTGGCTGGACCCTGTATTGCATCACAAGGTTTTGTGAGTTCTAGATACCTGCAGTCTTATCTCACTGTCCTGGAAGAAGATAAGAAGACACCTGGACCCGCATGTAACACGAGGGCCGGCTTGTTGGGGTTTCTGTCCCGCCCAGTACCCCAACAAGCCAGCAAGTCCCAAGGAAAATCACACGGAGTCTACATTAGGTTATAAACTGATTGGCCCATTAGGTCAGGCTTCTTGTTAACTCTTATAACATATATTACCCCATTATCCTTATCTATGTTAGCCACATGGGCTCAGTACCTTTCTCAGTGTGACAGCTTACATGTTGCCTCTTTGATGGTCTGTGCAGGAATGGCCGAGGAACCCTTCTCCTCCCTAGCCTTATCCTATTCTCATTACTCCGCCTCTACTTCCTGTCTGGTTGACCCGCCTATACTTCCTGCCTGGCCAATCAGCGTTTTATTAAAATACATGATTGACAGAATACAGATAATTCTCCCACACCACCTGCAGGCAGGCCCTGGCTCCCCTGAGGACCCTGCTTCCCTGCTCTGTCAGACCCCTACACACACACACACACACACACACACACACACACAGAGAGAGAGAGAGAGAGAGAGAGAGAGAGAGAGAGAGAGAGAGAGAGGCTGATGTGGGCTCAGAGAACATGATTCTTGCCCTCTGCAAGAGCATCAAGGACTCTCATGCACTGAGTCATCTCTCTAAGCCACCATACACCATACTGGGCTTGGTTTTCAGTTGTTTGAAGGTGGCAAGGAGAAAGGGAGGGAAAGAGAGAGAGAAAGTGAGAACCTCATCTATATTTGTTTGATTGTTTTGTTTTCTTTTTTTGAGACAGAGTTTCTCTATGTAGCACTGATTGTTCTGGACATAGCTCTGTAGAACAGACTGGCCCCAAGCCCACAGAGATTCGCCAGCCTCTGCCTCCCGAGTGCTGGGATTAAAGGTGTGCTCCACCACCGCCCAGCTCTTCGTCTGTATTTTAATGGGACTTTGGTCATGGGTTAGCAGGTCATATGTGCGGTTTGTTTCTGGACCTTCTAGTCTCTGTCCCATGGTTGTGTTTATCCTTGCGCAAAAATGCACGACTTTGGTTCAGTGGCTTTATATTCTGCCCTGATACGTGTACTTTACATTTTCACTATGTTTCTTCCTCCTCCACCAGATCCTCTTTAGTAATCTGCTCCCCTGCGGTCCAAATACAGCCTACAGGTTTCTATATTTCTACAAAAAGACCAGGAAATGGGACTTTTAAGTAAGGATGCTTTGAATCAGCAGGAGAATGGGGGAGACTGACGTCTTCACAGGACTGAGCCTTCCATTCAGGGGTGGAATAGGGTCCTTTAATTACGTAGGCACTGGGGTCCTCTTTTAGAAGAATCTCTCTCTATTGGAAGAATCCCTCTGTCCCCTCTGTGCTTCTTCCCCTCCTCATTTGGAACAGATCTCATGTATTCCAGGCTGGTCTCTGCCTCAGTTTCTTTTCTATTGCTGTGATAAAACACCATGACTAAGGCGATTTATAGAAGGAATGGTTTATTTAGGCCTATGGTTCCAAAAGAACAAGAGTCTGTCCTGCTGGGGAGGTATGACAGCAGGCAAACAAGCAACTGTAGCAGTAAGCTGAGAGTTCACACCTTAAACACAAACAGGAGGCCAGGTGGTAGTGACGCTTGCCTTTAATCCTAGCACGTGGGAGGCAGAGGCAGGCAGATCTCGGTGAGTTCGAGGCCAGCCTGGTCTACAGAGTGAGTTCCAGGACAGGCAGGGCTGTTATACAGAGAAACCCTGTCTTGAAAAACTAAATGCCCAGGCGCCAGTACTGCACTTCTTTAAAAATTTGTATTTGCTTATTTTTGATACAGGGTCTCATTGTGTAGCCCTGTATCCAGGCTGGTCTGGGGAACTCACTGTGATGAACAGGTTTGTCAGGAACTCACGGAGTTCCTGCCTCTGTCTCCCAAGTGCTGGGATTAGTGTGCCACCAAGGCCTGGCATGTGTGTTTGTGAATGTGAGTGCCAAGCCCTCGGCAGCCAGAAGGGGATGTTGGGTCACTTGGAGCTGGAATTACAAGTGGTTGTGAGCTGACTAAGTCTGTGGGGAACAGAACCCTGGGCCTCTGCAGAAGCAATGTCTTAGAGTTTCTGTTGCTGTGAAAAAGACCATGACCAAAAGCAACTTGGGGAGGAAAGGGCTTACACTTCCTGATGGCAGTGCATTATTGAGGAAGTCAAAGCAGAACTGAAGCAGCAAAGGAACCTGAAGGAAGGGACTGAAGCACGGGCCACAAAGGAACATTGCTTACTGTCTTGCTCTTTGTGGCTTTCTCAGCCAGTTTTCTTATACAACCCGGGACAATGTGTGCAAAAGAGGCACCACCCACATGGTTACCCAATTGTTTTATGGTCGTTTCCTCATCTGGAACAAGAGATGTGCAACTAACTTGATGGGGAACCTCCTTCAGCCAATGATCTTTGAGAGGCTGGACCAGGTGGGGAGTGGCTTTGGGTACCAAAAAGCGGCAGTCCTGCCTGCTTGGCCCCTCTTTTTCCTGCACGCCACACCTGGATGTTGGACCCTGGTTCTATTTTCTCATTGTGATCCGTGGTTTCCCTTCTAATAAAGAAAAACCTTAGCATACGCTATTCGGAGCTAGTGTGGGATTATTTGTTTCGCATTCCCCCATCTGATGCCTTCTGCGTTACTAACTCACTGTCTCAGAGTCTTAAAACGGAGAGGGACTGTGGTTAAAATTCTTTCCCTGGGGGACACAAACAATATCTACCCTTTCTCCTAAGGTCCCAGTGACAAATGGAGAAACCATTCCCTCAATGTCCACTCTGGGGAACCAGTTAGTTTTGGGGACTTAAAACACGTAAGTAAGGGATTACTTACAGGAATGTGGGTGCTGCCTCTCCCCCCAAAAAACCTGTACTGGAAACTTCACCCGTCAAGGATGCTGGTTTTCCCATAGTAACATAGATGGAGAGTCCTTCCCTCCCCCAACCCCCCTCCCACCTAACTATCCTGGCCAATATAGTCTAGCCCCTCCCCGAGGCCACATGCAATTAGGGAAGAATTACATATAACAGGTGGTATGTATGGCGTATGCTGGATAAGCAATCTGCAAGCCCAGCTGGGATGATCCTTTGTTAGCCAGCACAGCTGAACGCCTAGAGGTGACAGTTGTTTGGCTCCAAGGATGGTCACATGCAACAGGTCATACACTGTGGGCAGGAAAGAAAACTGAATACACCTTTTGGGTAATAACTCATTTGTGAGCGCATCAGTTCCCTTCTTATCCATAGAGGATGTGTTCTAAGACTCCTAAGGATGCAGCTCCAAACAGCACTAAGGCCTATAGGGTCTGTTACTCATGTGCATGTATTACTATGACAACGTTTAATTTACAATTGCAGTGATCAGGAGGGATGGCCCAGCAGTTCAGAGCACTTGTTGCTCTTGCGGAGGACTGAGTTTGATTTCCAGCACCATGTGGTAGCTTACAACCATCTATATAAAATTCCAGTTCCAGGGGGATCCAATGCCCTGTTTCGACTTCCTCAAGACACACATGTGGTGTATATACATATATACAGACAAAACATACAGAATAAACACATCTAACATTTTAAAATTTAAGCACAGTAAGAGACTGGCAACAACAATGATTGAATGGTTGTAATGATACATTGCAATAAAAAATGTGAGTGTGATTCCTCTTGAAAGACAAGACAAATAGCATTTGCAGACCATGAGTAGTTGAAACAGTGGCAAACAAAACCACAAATGAAAAGGACACCTGATATAATTCAAAAGATGTGCAGGGCCGGCATGGCAGCATGTAATTGGTACCAGCTGCTTGGTAGGCTGAGGCAGGAGGATCACATGAGCTCAAGAGTTTGAGGCTAGCCTGGGTAGTACAGTAACACCCTGCCTCTGGGAGGAAAACAAACTAACAAAAACACTTTGAGCACTTTGAGCTGGTAAACCCATCACTAGAAATTTATTAGTGAGATATAACCAGATGAGGAAAACATAAAGGGCTGGAGAGACGGCTCTGCAGTTGAGAGCGCTGGCTGCTCTTGCAGAGGACTGAGTTTGATTTCCAGCACCCACATGGAGCCTCACAACCATCCATAACTGCTGTCCCCGAGGCAGCTCTCACTTGTGTCTGACTTCCATGGGCACCAGGGATGCACATGGCGCACAGACATATGTTCAGGCAAAACACATAAAGATAAATAAATCTAAACTAAAAACTTATTTTAAACTGTGAATAAGCCAGGCAGTGGTGGTGCGCCCCTTTGATACCAACACTTAGGAGGGAGAGGCAGGTGGATCTCTATAAGTTCGAGGCTAGTTTGGTCTACAGAGTTCCAGAACAGACTCCAAAGATACAGAGAGAAACCCTGTCTCGAAAAACAAAAAAACAAAAACAAAAACAAAAACAAGTTTCTGGGAGCTGAAATGTGGCTCAGTTGGAGGGAGGGAGTACCTGCTGTTGGGTTTGACACCACCACATATACCTGCCATGGCGAGACAGTCTGTTACAGTCTGCTAATCCCAGTACTGGAGATTAGAGGAAGAACACTGCTAGTCTAGAATAGTTTAGTGGAAAAGAAAAGAAAAAAAAGGCAACAAATCTATCTTTTTCCATGATATAGTTGTTACAGAAGAATGTTTGGTAACATTGGAAATCCAGGATTTTGTTAAATGAAGAAAAGTTACAAAATTCTTTATGTATGTATCTTTTTAGTACTGTTTCCTCTTAGCTTTCTTTCCTCCTATGGCTTTCATAAGATAACCCAACAAAAACAAATTAAGGAAGGAAAGATCTCTTTTTAGCTCAAATTTCCAGGCTACAGTCCATCGTTGCTGAGAAGTCAGGGCAGCAGAAGCAGCGGGATCACACACCCACGGTGAGGAGCAGACAGAGAAGGCATAGGGTGTCCCCTCTCCTCCAGGAAAAGGCAATGCTGCCGTTCAGGTGGGTCTTCCCCCTTGAATTTGCTCAGTTACAAAAATTCCCCAGAGACATGCCCACCGGTCAACCTGATCTAGACAGTTCCTCATTGAGACTTTCTTTCCAGGTGACTTTAGACTGTGGCCTGTTGACAAAACTAGCCATCACAGTTCCCGTTTTGTTTAATGTAGTATTCCATGTAGTACATGTGTGTACCAATTTAGAAAAAAAAGATGCGCTGGCAATTTGCAGAAATGCTTCCGGCTGCTGGTGGACTTCTATATATGCAGTTGAGATTTTAAAAGTTACATTTGCACATTTCTCAGGGTTTCTCAACAAGCACATGCTATTTGTAACAA